GTGGAAAACAAAACAGTCTTGTAAATCTCTCACAAGAAAATAAAGAGACAACAAAAGGAATGATACCAATTTTTTGTCAGTGACATTGTAAAAACCAAAAACATTCAAATAGTAAAATGTTTAGAGTGGCACAAATATAAACGCATTTAAATAATTTCTATAAAAATAATCTTTTTTTTTATAACTTCATATTGTCTACAGTTCTTATGTAGCATGCTTAGTAACTTTCAGAGAATGACTAAATCACAGATGAATTTTTAACTTGTCTTTGCACGGTTGCTACCTTTTATGCAAATAAATTGATACAATGAACTCACTACAATAGTTTCCTTGTCCACTCTCGTCTTCACTATTCGGACAGTCGGCTGATTATTGCAGACTTCCGATAATTCAATACACGTTCCTGACAATGGACAGGCCCACTTTAAAGGTGGACATGATCGTTGCTCTTGAATAGAAAAACACAATATGAAAATTACCTTATTAGTATGCAAATAACATCTAAGACACTGGTTCATAAAAGTGGAAAATCTAATTAAATTTGTCGTATGGCACCATGGACAGTTGCATGTACATTACATTGTGTCTCTGTAGAAGATTGCATTCAACAAACAAACAACTAGATAAGGTTAAATTTCAATCCATTATACTCAGTCTGTACTATTTTTAAAAAAATTGCATTACGTAGTTATTGAGTTCCCAAGTTTAAGAAATATATAAAATTTGAACACGAACAGTTACAAAATGTCTGAGATATGGCTTCAAAACTGCATTCACTAATTAGAAACAAATTGGTCACCAGTCGGCCATTTTGAAACTGATCTGACAAACAAAGTGATGTGCATTAAGGTCAAGTTTGAACAAAATCTGTCCATGCATGACCAGATCCAAACCAAGAATTGCAGAAATGCTTGATTTTGGTGAATAACAATTTGGTTGTCTTGAATAACCAAATAAATAAATATGCACATGTGCAACATGATTTATGATGTATATGTAAAATTTGAATATGATTAGTCTGCAAAATTCGAGATAAAACCCTCGAACAGCATTCATTAAAACAAAATGCAACCATTATGGCCATAACATAATGGCCATCTGTATATTTATGACATGATGTATAATGAATATATAAAATGTTAACATAATCAGTCAAAGCATGTCAGACATATGACACTAGAACCGCATTCATTAAAACAAAATGGCCACCAGTCGGCTATTTTGAATCCGATTTGAAAAAAAATGACGTACATCAAGGTCTAAAGTAATGAACAAAATCCATCCATCAGTAAACAGCCGAAGATCTGGTTATAGGAAAAGTTCGAACAAAATCCATCCAACCACAACCAAGATGACACTCACCACATCTTTTTTCGTCTGATAAATCAAGGCAGTCATCAGCTCCATCGCACACCCATTCCTGAGGTACACAGTTGGAATTTTCACATGTGAACTCAGCACTGGAGCATGATGGGTACACTGTAAGAGAAATATGACATAAAAATATGCTGTTGTTTTTTGGCACCCAAAAAGTTATTCATAGGAGTGTTTATTACAATTATCTGACATCTTGTTTTCTGTTAAGATAGTTTATGAATTTTATTGGTACCGTAAAAATCATATTTGAGGCTGCAGCTTTAATATAAGCCTCACCCAAAACTTTCACAAACCAAACAGCCACCACATATTTCAGTAAAAGATATACAATTTAATTTTAAATTAAGGCATGATTTTTTTGAACATTTCAATCTTTCCTGAAGCCTAGACTAGAGTCTAATTTAGGTTTTCCGTAGTCATTGACACCTATTCAAGAGTAGTGTTTATTGTGAGTATAGCGTGAATGGGTAAACTGCGTTTCGACAATGAGCTGTTATCACCATAAAAAGTGTTAAATTCTTCTTCAGTGCTCAGCTTATCTTTCGAAAACAACTAATTTCTTGATTTAAAAAAAAATCATGTCCGTTTTCCTCAAAATCAAAGCGGTAAATCTCTTCCGTGTTGCATTCACCATGAAGTCGCTGACCTACATTAACATATTTAAATGAGCTATGGTAATTCAAACACGTTGGCACCATTCAGTGCTTCGATTGGTTAATTAGCTTGGACTTGGACAAACATGGCGGATATCTCGGACGTGACCGAAATCATTCGCTTGCGGTGAAACTACGGTAAGTTGAATTTGCATAACAATTCAACAAACTTATTTTTTGTACGTTATTGTAATCACTACTTAGTAATAATCATCAATTGTAACACTTCGAAAACAAGTAAGTTATTAACTTGTGAAACGCAGCATATCCAGCCAGATTACCGTGATCATTTGCTACTAAGCAATGCATTAGTGTTTGTTTTTATTTGAAACTTCTTTTAGAATATACTTTTCGTTATCAACAAAAATAAATGCATATTACATTAAATATACCGGTACTGAGTACCATATTTTTTTTGTTATCATGTGAACAGTTTTTTTTTTTGATTGACTGTAATTTCCCTGATGTCTAAATTAGAGCATGGAAAGTACCACACTACCGATACTAACAAATTAGTGTGACGTCTATTCAAGAGATTATACGGTACCATAATCGGCAAATGCGTACAAATCTATTTGTGGATATTATTTAATGTGCAGCATGTTGTACAGTGTAAATTTGTTTGTCTGTGTGTGAAAATCCAAAAGTGCACTTAGAATTGCAACAAAGTTGCAATTGAGTGTCGTGCATCTCATTAGCATATTATTATCCCTTCAGGCCTTTGTTTTCTGAAAACATTTCTCACTGTTACCGAAGTGAATGCTCTAATTAAAGCCGCACCAAGACTTTCACGCATTTGAAGTCGCCCGTTGAAAAAATGAATTTTAATTCAAGCCGAGGCCTCAATTAGGAATTTTACGGTATGTTTGCAAATGTGTATTAGACTGGGCAACGATCCTCTCAATGAGTTGATTGAAAACCCAGTCTAGTATCCCCATGGGATTTGGGAGGTACATTACCAATGATATTGATTACAAGATAAATGATTTACTTCATTGAACACATACAGCAATACAGGGATCAGTGACCTTTGAATGTGTATCACCAGTAATCAGTAAAGTAGAAACAGTCAACAAATTTTATCAGATTTTGACTACTAATTTCTCAATTTTTGCATGATATTTTCACACAGGACATCTGCCATTCACAATAAGGGAAGATTTTATACTGATGAATTAGGTGACCTAGTTTGATAAAGTTTGGAATAGAATTAGTAAAGTTATTAACAACGACGATGACGACAAAAACGATGACAGACATTTTTCCCTCAATATAACTTTCCCTTTCATCTTTGATGATACAGGCAAGGTAAACAGTAATTCACACGGCAAAATTCATCTTCTGTTATGTCGCTTACGACCAACAATATTCATAGATATCACTCACCGCAGTCAGCCTCATCTGATTCATCTAAGCAGTCTGATTGATGGTTACAATACAGTTGTCTTGGGATACAAGAACCATCCGCACATTCAAACTCTAATATACCACATTCTGAAAATTATAAAATATTATAATAATTGTCAAAACTGAAAGAAAATGTTTAAAGCAATTAATGATTATGCTGATAAAAGGCAGCACATATTCTCGTTGCATCATAATTCAGTTTAAACTATTGAACAGCAGACATTGCAGTGTATGTAGAAAATATAAATGTTTCACTCAAGAGTAAATATTTCTTATAGCATAGCAACTTTATAATGTACTGAAGTTACGCAATTATTGCATTTAATCTGTAAAAACTACAAATAATGCGTTTTTAAGTGCTGTGTTATTCTGGAGAAAATTCCCATTAATGTCAAAGACCACGCTAAACAAATATGCAAATTACAAAGAAAGATTAGATTGATCTTATAGATATGTCCTTTAAAGATAAACATAACAGATGGATGATTTTCCGTTCGCTGCTATTTTCTGACGCCAATATGACCTTTCTGTGTCCTGTTTTTTACGTTTAATTTCACATACACATAATACGAGATTTCGCAGTGAATAGAACATGGTCTATCATAACCTTGCCTAAATGAATATGTTAACAAATCTCAAATATCAGGATGTATGACCTTGGGTCAGAAAATACCAGGATGTGTGAAATTTAGTGGTCTGAAAGTACCAGGATGGTTGACCTTTAGGGATCAGAAAGTACCAGGATGGTTGACCTTTAGGGGTCAGAAAGTACCAGGATGTGTGACCTTTAGTGGTCAGAAAGTACCATGATGGTTGACCTTTAGGGGTCAGAAAGTACCAGGTAGGTTGACCTTTAGGGGTCAGAAAGTACCAGGTAGGTTGACCTTTAGGGGTCAGAAAGTACCAGGTAGGTTGACCTTTAAGGGTCAGAAAGTACCAGGATGGTTGACGTTTAGGGGTCAGAAAGTACCAGGATGTGTGACCTTTAGTGGTCAGAAAGTACCAGGATGGTTGACCTTTAGGGGTCAGAAAGTACCAGGATGTGTGACCTTTAGTAGTCAGAAAGTACCAGGATGTGTGACCTTTAGTAGTCAGAAAGTACAGAGTAACCCTAGAGCTCATGCATCAGGCTTATTAATTTGTTTCAGTTACAAAAAAAAAAAGTTCATGACAGGGATGATAACAGACATTGTTTTGTTTTTTTCAAGGATCAATGCAACTTCAAAAATTATATTCTACGACACAGATTAGAGGACCTATGGCTAATAGATTAAAACTCAGTAAAGTACACTCTAATAGACTATTTTCAAATGCCTGCCGAGATTTTGTTGACAGCTTGCTTTTTTCTCCCAAATAGTCTCTATCGCCATGGCATCCATTTTCAAATATCATGGTTTCCATGGCTACAGGAACAGTAGACGTGATGGTGTTTGAAAATGGAACACTATTCAGCGTACAAAAGCTAGTCACGTACCTCTCATCTTGATGAGATTTCGGCAACCATTAATAAA